ACTCACTGTACTTTGTTGTATGTCTATATGTTTTTTGACTTGTCCTATAGCTGTATTTGCTCGAATGGATAAATAAAGAATTGAATTGAATTGAAAAACTTACTTTGACTATTTTCTCTACTCCAGAAGAAGCTATCAAAAAGTTATGCCTATTATATCGCACTTGATTCACTATAGACCGATGTCCACGAAGCACCATATGTGAAGAACCCCATTCAGCTGTAAGAAAACTCAGTAAAAACCATTCAATCAAAAATTTTCATAATCTCACAATCGTCCTGTGGTATTTTCCACATGTACAAGTTGAAATCATCAGATCCGCTCAGTATGTACTCATCGTTGTATCCGGCGAAGCAGCAAGTTTTCATAGTACACGAATTGTAGTATTGGGGATGGTAAAATTGGCAAACGGGAGACTCAGATTCGGCCATGTATAGGACAGGTGGAAGACGTCTTCTTAGGGCCAGCACTTTCTTACCAGTCGAGTCAAAACAGGCACTGATGCCGCTTGTTTTGCCGCTTTGTTTGTCGTAGTGAAGAAGTTGCCTGAAATTCATCATGATTGTAGATATACATAGAACATTTATTTGGGTTGTCGCTAATATGAGTCAGAGTCAGAAATGCTTTATTGTCATAAAAGTTTAGGTTTTGTTGACAAAGCAGGCTTAAGAACTAAAACAATCTGAAACATTAACATAAAGGTCAAGAATTTAGAACAAGATATTAATATGGTTTTTTTATTGAGTCTGTAATAAAAAATGCGAGATTTTCAATATCAACTGAATGATGGAAAACACTCCAGTCCAATTCTTCAATCTGTTTTTTAAATTTCGCCACNATCCGAAAGAAATTCCTCAATACTATAATAAGCTTTATCTAGCAGAAGTTTTTTAATCTTTTTCGAAAATGTTTGTAGCATGTTAACTTTCTGATTGAAAGGGGGACATATGAGTTGAGTTCGAGATGTTATCTTTCTGCCTTTTGTGCATTAAGCAGACTGTTTTTAAAATAAAAAGGCAGTAGACTGTTAAGATGTGATGAGTTAAAAAAAGAGGCTTACAGGAATCTTGGACTCTAACTCTAATGAATCTCACTGCTCACTTTTGAATTGTGAAAAGTTGACTCATTAAGTTTTGACAGCTGCTCCCCCAGAAACAAACTCCGTACCGCAAGTGGGACTCGAAAAGTGCAAAGTATGCTTTTCTAGCAGAGCGATAATCCAAAGAGTTAGAGATAGACCTTATTGCATAACAACTTGGGGATAATTTTTTGCATAGTATACTAATATGAGTTCCAAATTTCAATTTGTTGTCTATGTTGAGGCCTAAAAATTTGTTCTTTATTTTATGATCAATGTGTTCTTCAAGAATTATATGGTCCAGGATACATTTAAATGACATTATATTAGTCTTTGATATATTGAAATACAATAAATTAGCATCACACCGTTGTTTAACTTTGCCTATATCATGCTCTACCCTAATTTTAGTGCATCAGTGCTTCTTCCATGCCAAAGTATAGAGGTGACGTCAGCAAAACTTGTGAATTTGCCTTCAATCGATATATATGCCAGATCATTTATATATAATAAAAACAGCAAAAATACCATTTATGAGAGATTTATTTATAGCTTCTGCTAAGATATCTAATACAGTGTTTGGCAGTCTAAGGAAAATTTTAAGTGAGAGATCATCCCATCCTGAAGAGTTTTTATTTTTTATGCTAGAGAGGATTTCTTTTATCTTATTTTCAGAGGTTGGGGAATATTTGAATGAGTTCGATATGGCTATATGTCTAAGGTAACTCATTGGGTTCTCATTGATTGATATTTTTTCTTTATGGTGAAATATGGTTAATGTGAAATAAATCAATTAGCAGCAAAGCTCTCTATATATATGAATGAAACTAACGAATATGATCCCTACTGAAAAAAGAAAAATGTAATGACTAGCGCCATGTATATGTTAATCCCGAAACATGTAATAAAATCTCCGAAACGAAATTTCGCAAACCAACGTCAAACAGTGCGATAATTAACACTATCATTGCTAAATGCCTAAACATGCTAAACACATGACACTAAAACGGACAAAACTTTCGAAACAACAAAATCATTTTCACATACTGACTTCCTGTGTCACGAAAAATTGATTTATGTCATACCCAAAGCTTTCTTTTAGAAAGAAGTTAACTTTCAAACGATACACTATATTTACTATTAGTTACAAGTGGAATTATACTCACGTCTTCGGTTTTCTGCAATCCCACAGACCAATACCTTCTTCGGAGTTGGCAGTCACTAAGTAACGGGGCTTCAAAGGGTTAAACACAACCGAGTGGAAACCACTTTCCTTTTGAGCCACAACTTGACAATCTAGATATTTCAAAAGTACATGAGAAATCAACTCGAGAGACATTTCAATAACAATATTTACCTTGATGTGGTTGTTCTCTAGTATCGTAAATCAATATCCGCCCATCTTCTCCTGCAGTAGCTATAATTTCATCATTTTGAGGGTGTATACTTATACCATATACTGGTTTTTCATGGGCGATAGATGTTTTTAAAGTACCCCTGGAAACGATATATTGGAATTTGGTGACTACTAAGAATATTCAAAAGAGAGTATAAACATATTTCATGTCCTGTACCTAGCCATAATGTAGATAAAAAATAACAAAACGTGTAAATGAAGGCAAAGTTATGCCTAAAGTAGTGGAACTGAATGGAAAAACCTCAAACAGTTTCTTCAATTATGTAAATGTGCAAAACTTTTCGCATCACATACATTTCCCCAAATTGAAGCACAAATGATGACTGAGAATGAGTATTGGCGATCAGCAGGAGTAAAATTTTTAAACATATCCTCCCCATATAGAAAATCTTTGTTTAGCAACATTCACTATATTCTTCCAAACTATTCGGGCTGCAAAGGAAATCTAGAAAAATAAATGCCTTAGATTTTACAAGCAGCTTCCAAGATGTACTTTTAAATAACCAAATGGTACCGTATTTCAATAATAATAATAATAATATCGTTTATTATGCATAAAAAATACATTTATACATAAAAGGAAAAGGATTAGCCAAAGGCTATCTTCCACCCCTCCGAAAAATTATACAGTGGGTGTAAGAAAATAATTATAAAAATACTTATTTACTATCATAACAATGATAGAGAAGAGAAAAAAAAATAGATCATATAGTTGCTAATAAATCCAATGTCATTTTAATTTTTTTGTCTTATTTTGAAGTCACTTTTCAAAACATCTTTTGATGTAGAGGTATTTCCTGATGTAAGAACTAATATTTTTTTGATAAATGTAAATTAGCCAATAATTTGTGTGTATATTTGGGTATTTGTATATTTTTTTTAATTTCATTTGAAATTCATGTGTTACCTACATTAAAAACTTTACCTTAACTATAAGTAGGAAGAGTGATACGTGATAAATATTGCACTATATGACACTTTCTATTACTGCTAAATATCAACTGTACGAGGGTTTCCCATTCATATAATTAATGGTGAAATAAAATAAAATATTTCTTACGTATTGACTTCATGGATGAGAACTTGGTCATCGTTACCACCGGAAAATATTTTTTCGTTGCAAGAATCGAACGTCAAACAAAAAATGTTACTTCTATGTGATGTTCTCATTACAGCTGGGGTACCCTTGCCCAGCAAGGCCCCAGCAACGGACCAGAGAAGTACGCGTTTGTCATCGCNAAGCAAGCAGGTATAACATTTTTCTTGGTAGTTTTTGCTTTATATTATTTATTATTCAGCTCTGAAGTTTGCATGTCAATACAATTTTTTAATTATTTTCAGGCGCTTAGTAAACTTGTTAGTTAATGTACTCAAAATTGAACAAGAAGGTTTTTGGCGCCAGTGTATTTCAAACACAATTTATGGGATGTTTGTCTAAAAACCATAACCAAATATAAACAAAACGAATATCAAGGTCGGAGTAATAACACAAAAGAAATAAATGTACTCATATGTGATAATAGTAAAACCTCTAGTACTCAGAAAAGGTGAATACCTACATTTTGTTACCCATAGTTCCGTGTTGATCTAGCTTCATATTGAGGGAATGGTACCTTTCAGTAGGTACTTAATTTTTTGCATTATTGAAAATGCCGAATATTCAAAGCCACCAAAAAGAATACCTCTGGCGGTAGGTATATGCTGTACAAATGGATCGTTACTTTTCTCAGTTGCAAATTTTCACAAGTAGGGGTCCATCATTTGTCAAAATTTAAGTATCGGTGCTTTTTAAAGAATGTTTCTATTATTATTATTGATCAGCAGATTGAAATTCGAATTGATTTTTCTATTAATATCATAAACATAATTAATTATGGTTGTAGTGCTGATGTTAATCTCGAATGACGCTAACGTTTGGGAAAAGTTATTCGAATTCAGGGTTAAATCGTGTAGAAATTGAAGATAATTTTGTCAAATTTTAATATGTCAAAAAAAGAGTTCAGAAGTTCTTTGAAAACAACATCAGTCATTTGCGAAAAAATAGAAAACACCTGCAGGTTTACTATTTCAATTTTTATACGAGTATCTTAGGTTTTTAGTGTTCAGACCACATATTTCATAACTATATCGTAGGAAAAAAACCAATACAAAAACGTGCTTATAAGTCTATTAGTCCCTTTGAATTGAACATACCATAGAAAATCCGATCCATATTTGAGCAATAAGAGCTAATCAAACATATAACATATACGTCAATATTCAGTTGTATGAGAGAAAGTTAAAAGTATTTCCAACGTATGCCGTTAGAAAATACGATTTCAGCTAGGAAAATGTTGTAATGCCATATTCCGAATTTTGTTCCTGACTCGTTCATGCTTATCCGAATATTTGTAATAATATTGTGAATTGCAAATCATAAAATAACCTTCAAATTGAGCGTGCATACCTACACGACTGTTGTCAACTGTCGTTGTTTTAATTCAAATATTGAATCTCTGTTCAAAAGTTTTTTGGTTAACGATGAAGAAAATGCTCATATTTACTGAAAGAATACGGTTTGTATTCACTTTTGTATATTACGAAAAATGAAGTCAACATGTCCACTTTATATTTATAGACAGTTTTCTGTAAGAGCATGGTGATAGAGGGGGACTACGTGTACGTCATAACTTTAGTTTATTATCTTTTGGCATGGCCATTTGACGTCATCGTTTAACAAGACCTGGCAGTTGAAGTTTGAAAAATTCATGGTTTGAAGTGGCTCAAGAAATTTAACACCTTGTAAAATATTTCATCGACCATATTTCTATAGCCCAAAAACAGTAGCAAAAGCATTTTCTTTAAATTAATTCAGTTGAATCTGGTAAATGGAACAACAATTAGTTATTCAAGTACGTGGGTATTACTGGAGTTCTATCCCAACAACAAAACGTTTTTTAACACCTCGACATGTGTTTCAATCACCAAGTGATCATCTTCAAGAGATGTTAAAAAGAACGGTTTGGTGTTGGGATAGAACTCCAGTAATATTCATTACTACACCAAAGGTCCCAAACAGTGCATCACAGGTATGTGGAGACTTTCATTCTTGAAATGAAGAATACCTTCATAATTCCAAGGGTCGGTGGTTCAAAATCCCTCAAATAGCAACTTTCAACGTGAACGCTGTGAAACGTGTCATTTGGGGTTATGCTTGAATTACTTGTAGTTCTGTGTATACGTCGTAGTTCTAAGCATCGTTCGATTCTTTGAATTTGTATTCTTGGGCTTATTCACATGCATTTATGCATCATCATTCGCATCATTCGCAGAGATCCAAATGTCAACACCAAACCACTAATTTTTCGTCAATTGAGAGTCAAATCGCAGATCTGCGGATGTTTCATGAATATCAACTTCTTAGAATTCGTTGGATGTGACGTTGCGAGCGACGAGAGATTTTAGAATAGCCGCCCTTGGGCCCTATTTTTTATTCACTCAGTTCTACAAAAACGCAGTTCTGGGAATTGTTCGTGCGAACGATTATTTGAATATTCTATTCTTGAATTCGTTACGATCACGCATCAAATTGATTTGCATTTATGCGAATGTTTCAAGAATATCATTTCCTCCAGAATGGTTCGTCACGTGCATACGTTGCGAAAAACGAGTGATTTGTGAATAACCGCCTGTGGCGTTTACTGCTTTCGTTTCGTAATTCATAAAAAAGAAGAAGAAAATTCGTTAACAACGCTCGTGACCAATGGTATTGACATTTGAGATGGCGATGTTGCCAGGTAAATATTTATTTCAGAATTGAGTACAAACCGCTCAGAGTAATAATAAACCGCAACTTAACTATTTTAGGCTCGAGTGTATTCCGTTACTCTAATACGAAATACTGTGTCATAGATGTTATATTATGCCAACTGTATTCATATCTAAAAAATTGTGTTGTGAATAAACAAAAAAAACACATATGGACACATATTGGACCATAAAACGTAACGATATTGTTCCTTTATTGAGTTCTGATACATACATACATTAACATATGATGAAACATAAAAAAGCTAGGACTTATAATAATATAAAAATTCTTGATTTGACGTTTCGAAACGTTTCAAATGTAAAATACGTGTGCATAATATGTAACATTAGGCGTTAGTACTGACAATTTACATTCAAAGTTCAATAACAAATACATGTATAACAAATGCAAAATGTTCTCAGCAGTGATATGTTCTATGCATTCGAAGGTGGCTCACACAGTGAGAACCCATATTGTTGTATCTCATCCTCAGAAAGAAAAATACAAGTGTTCTTTGTAACTTGTCCACTAACAAAAGTTTGGTCTCATTAATTATAACTGATTTGTTGTTAGTACCCCTACTCTCAAGACAAAGACTGCAACTTGTTGCAACTTCAATTAATATCGTCAATAACATTGAATCGGTAAAATATACTACTGATTCGATGATATCATCATGTATACCTTTTTTGTTTTCAAAGAATTCCTAAATGCTATTTCATTTTCAGAGAATAATGTCTCGGAAACTAAATGAAGGAAATATTTGAAGGATAAAGGTTATTGTCAGTCACATCGAAATATTCTCAAAATTTAATTAAAAAGATGGAGCGTCTCTAATAGTTTTGATTTAGCATATTTACTGACATATGGTGGTCAAATTATGAGTTAATATTGTACAGATTCAACATATATTTCACCAGAATTCGTAACGAATATAATAAATAGATTGAAAGATCATCATTGTAATATACCAATACCAAATTTCATTGAAAAATGTACTCAGAGAAATAATAATGAAATTAATTCGAAAATTAAAATAACTGTGGATTTATAGTGGAAATCATTTTCTCTAGTCATACAAATTTTCGGCAAAAATTATCTATTTCATTTTTCTGGGAAATGTTATGTTTATACAGGTTCAGAGCTAACAAGATTTCTAGATGATATAGGTACACAGATAATTAAAATTTGTGACTTGATTTTCTTATAACAACAATTTTCATCTGATCAAACCAGACTTCTCTTTCTTATGATTTGCGATAAATTAGTATCATATTGGATGTATTTTTGTCCATCCATAGAAAAAAAGAAGAATGTCCTAAACCAGAAGAGAGAACACATCTTCAGATGCAAAAGTAACTTCATACTTTTGAATATGATTCGGGACCAAGGTAATTTTGAAAATTTTCAATTTCAATTCATTCCCGTTTTAGTACATCGCTACAATTCTTCTATATTTTGAAGCTTACGGAAGTTTATGACTACCGGGAGGTAGCTACATACAACGAAGGTTTTTTATATTCAGTAATTGGATGATTTTCTGAGAACATAATGAAGATAAACTGTTTTTGAGACGAATCTTAGAAATAATTCTGTTCCGACAGCCACTTGGTTTAAACAGGTTGGAGCCTGGTTCCCTTACCCTTTCGACTGGGATGGCGGCATGAATGTCCTGGGGTGTTTGGATGAAGATATTGTTCATCTTTTAACGGAGGACATGAGGGCCTCAATCGACAGGGTGTCTGGGCCTTCTATATGGTCTACAGCATACTCTATAGCTTCCCGAACTAACGGATTATCGTGGGTTTCTGCGCAAAAACTTGCCGATTCCTCAATTGAATGGATAGCTTAATGGAAGGCAGCTGCAAATCTCTGAGCATGGCTCCATTCCATACGAACCACGGAGCATTCACTATCATCTGTATTACTTTATTTTGCAATCTCTCCAGATACTAGACGGAGCCGCTTGTCCTCAGACGCCTAAAACATACATGATGACAGGCTTGAACATCGTTTTATAGATCGTAATATTGTTTTTTAGGCTTAATTTGGAACGTCTGTTGATCAGAAGGTACAGACTTTTGATCCGACCCTCGATCTTTGCCTTCACGGTTGTGATGTGCGGGTTCCAGGTGAGCCAACGGTCTATTAGAAGGCCGCGCTTGCCAATCGATCTCCTTTCCAGAGATCCTCACTTTTTTGGCCGGATAAGATATCATTCTTCCCATGGTTATCGCCTGAGTCTTTTCCGGGTTCACTCGGATCTTCCATTCGATGTACCAGCACTCGAGGTCGTCCAATACACGTTGCATGTAGACGACGCCGAGCTCCCGACCCATGAAAGATGAGAGGAGAGCCGTGTCATCGGCGTACATAAATAATTCTGTTCTTGGAGGAAACCAAATTTAATTTGTGTTGTACGGCATTCGGGAGGACCACAGAGTGAGCGACACCTAGAGTTGACGATTCGAACGTTAAACTCAGGGAGAACATTGATTAATGCTATAAGAAACCACAGTCAAACATTCAAATGGTAATTCTGATATTCGTTCAAACAAATATAAATATTACTAGAATTAAACAGTATTTGTTATGCCACCTCCCAGTTCACTTTTTGATTCTCTTTGGAAGGGTGGAAAATGAATTACCTAGAAATAATAATTTATTTTTTCTTCAGTTTGAAAAAGTTCATTTAGGAATAAACATTCTTTGAAGAGATAGCTTCATTACCTACATGTTAATGAACAAAATGTTCGAACAAAAAGTAAAAGTCTCACTTTGCAGTTGGTATCAAGTTGGTAGTCTTCCACAGTGCTTGGAGAGGCGTAATACAAGTTTATTTTTTAACAAGTTTCGACCAAAACTTCGTCAAACAATTGATATTTTCTTCACAGATTGTTTTGTTAAAACGTCTTTTGAACATAATTTTAGATAATTTCCAAACTTATAATAAAAACTACTCACGGCTTGGCTAATTTCACTTTTTCTCTGAATGTTGAATGCGTGATGGATCATCTATTGTGAAAGCAGTGAAAACGGAAAATGAATCGAAAGTGAACATATGAAATTTTCACAATCTACATATTTCCTTTGTGCATCACAGAGACAAGGTGAAATTAGCCAGACCGTAGAGCTCCGTTTCTTGATTTTCTCAAAAGGGTTCCCAACGAGGTTCATTGAGAATAATTGACTCTTCATCCATACATATATACAATATTACTTTAAACAACCGTATCGCAAGCGTCTCAACAATTATTATTCGCTTGGTCTTCGTTGTTCACTTCCCTGTCCACTTCGTTATTATTTTGATTATCCCGATAATTTTGTTCGCTGTTCGTGTTACTAACGACAAAACAGCCACTCTCGATCATATTATGGTTCATTTCATTCACCGCACGAACGTTCGAATTCTCCAAATCGATACTTTCGTAGTTTTTGTTCATTAGGCTAATCTCACTATACGAGGGAGGGAAATCTGGGAACACGTCTTCGTAAGTGGGCGGCGGACACCCCAGGGATGTGGGCGAGATACCTTTGCTGGTTTCGCTGGAATCTAGAATGCTGGGCGTGCTGCCCAACTGTCTTTGAGGATGGATCAGATCTGCGCTGAGTTCCATGAGTTCCATGTCGGTGTGGACGACCCTCCGGTCTACGACGAGCATTCTGCCATTCGGGAGGAGAATTACTGTTGGGGACGTCTCTTCTGTGACTCTGCTAGCTGGAATAGTAAAACATTGGTCCGTTAATATATGGGAGCCATATACACTTTATTTTCAAATGCAATAAAACTATCGAAATCAACTAAGCTCCATCAACTTGACAATAGTGTGGTGGGCCTCAAATACCTTGTATACTGGTGGGTATATTTTCGTGGCCGGTGTATTACAAATTGTTTGATGTTTTCGGGTTCATTAGCCGTGGTCTGCAGGTATAAAAATCGCCAGTAGGCGTGGAGGCACCTCAGGCAGACAGTGAGTCAGGCCAACAAGCCAATCACACGTCGTCACTTTGAACTTGGAAGTAATGGAGAATGTTCCTCCTGACGAAAATCAAGTAGTTTACATAAAAGAGCTCTAAAACAACGCATTTTAAACTTATCATTTCAACCTTTTTCTTTAAACAATTATTTAAATACTTACAAAAGAGAAATGAAATGATGCATTCAACATTTAAAGAGATTCGTTTCTATTTCACCATTTGGCAACATCGGTTATAGCTGATAAAGGACAATAATAATAATAATACCGTCTTTATTATCTTCTAATACATTCAAATCAAATTAATCATGTGCAGTTCATTTATTATAAGAAGACAAAAGGCGAAGATCAATTTACATGATGACAAGTCATCATTCAATTGCTCTTCCACTTAACCTCAAATCTGTTACCTGAATGAGTCAAACAAAGATGACATATTTCAGAGGCGTTGTTCTGTTTACATATGTTCCGAGTTCCGAGACATTCTGTGACATATGACATTTTGTGCACTTAACCTATCTTCCTCTATATAAATAAATAACAAAACAACTGTTGTTTATGTGGCTTGTGGAGGTGGTATTGAACTATAATTTATATTTTACCTTAATTGTTGATTTATGAAGATAATTTTCCTTTTTTAAAGTGGAATATCTAGGTACGTATAAATTATTTCAACTTGATATAGGCGCTGTTGCCAATATGTGAATTAGAAACAAATCCCTTTAAAAATTAAAACCCAACATTTGAAACATCAATTTGAATACTTTTCGAAGTGAATTTGAAAAACTCATGAATTAAACTCAACTTTATTTTGTTCAAACTTTCATTTGCTGTAATAACCCAAATTGAGGAACATTCCCCATTGTGAACTGATGAGAATGACGAGGTCGGCGTAATCGAGATCGCACGTTGAAACGTTAGACCACTCCATCGTTGAAATGTCATGCATTTTTTCAAACAATGTATTTCAAGACACCCTGTAAATTTTTTCTGTTATGTTTACACACATCTGATATTTTTTAGTCTTAGTAATCTCCTGATGAGGCTAACGCGTCGAGAGATCATAAATGATAAATGACAAATGACGGGCGGCCATTGTTTTTCTCGAGTTAAATCGATGATCAAATCTATGACCAGTCCGAGGACAAATTTGAGGTCCAAGTCAAGGTCTTATCTCGAGGCCCAAATTGAGGCTTAACAATTTTTTTTGGGGATGCCTTATCCTAATTCGAGGCCCAAGTCAAGATCCTCGAGGCCAGAATATTTTCTTGAGGATATTTAACGTAAAATTTTTGGAGGATCCATTAGAGGTCCTACTTTGAGGACCACACCGAGAACTACACCGATGTCCCATTCAGGGCTCAAACATTTTTGGTGGTACCTCATCCTAGTTCGAGATCCAAGTCGAGGTCCTATCTCCAGGCCCAAATCTGTTGGAGAACAATTTGAATTTCCCGCTGTGCGCGCGGTAAATTATGATTGGTCGACTGGGTGATGACGAAAAGTGGAGGAGTGTGGGTGATCTCAAGTGAGGCCTTTCCTAGTACCGGCAGACCACGGCTAATAAAGCCGGAAACATCGGGCACCTTGTATACTGTTTGGTTAACGGAGCGGAATTGGCAAATGAGTCCAATTAACAAAATGATGGGGGCTTGTTGAATTTGCCGTTAAACTAAACTAGGTGTTACAGGATATTTTCGACACCATCTCGTCATATTATTGACGACATCATTTCGGCCACAAACAAAAAGCAGTACACAGGGTTGATTTTATTGGATTTCAGTAGAGCGTTTGATACGATAATGATAGATATGTTGACGAATGTAGGTTTCGCAGAAAAATCCTTATTGCTGTATGCAAATGCAATATGAATGATCTCTTGAAAAAAAANAATTATCATCGTTCGATAAGTAGAATTCGGAACATCTGGTGTGAAATGTATCTATTACCTCCACCAGAACAAAAATACTGCCACTCGACAAATTCAGACATAGTCACAGTATTTATACAGAAATACTGTGACATAGTTATTCGTCATTCTTCATCTTTGTTTAATACCAAAGACGGTATTAACATACCTTATTTTATACTTGTTGACCATTTTAGGAACTGGCCCAAAGTTTCAAAGATCAATACTGTGAATAACCTCATTCCCTTTGTTAGTTAACAATATAAATATCAATCAGTCAGGAACAAAACATTCACTGCCCAAGTCATAGTTATAAATGGGTTAGGACAAAACCCAAAATATCTCGAGCTTTTCCGGAACAATTGCGTGTATTTTTGTTTGTTTTTTTTCAGCAGAACAATGAGTCAAGGCTGTATTATCCGAAATTAGATTTTATAATTAGATAGATGTTGCTGATAGATAAGGATCTAGGATAGCAATTGTTGGGTCATTCAGGTACAGATTGTTAGCAATTATCTTTGTTTATCCGGTAGTTATCTACAGACATAAAATATTAACAAGACCATCTCGACAATAGATATTTCCAAAAATCAATCAATATCATTCGTAAGTTCTATAAGAAAATAGTTCTTTCATCAAGAAGTGATACCCAAACTTTTCTATTTCGAAAGAAAATGGAAGTTTCAAAAAACAACTGTGACGTTACTACCATTGAGACTTATCCCCCTTTCAAACCATGTTCCAAAATGTATATGACTTTTGTAAAGCAGAAAATCTACATAAATGAATATACGACATAATTAGTCAATTATTACTATTCAATCAAATATCTCTTTTAACAAAATTCCAATAAAGGTCTATTTATAAAAACTTTTCTGAGAAAACTGCTGAAATCACAACGATTAGAAATTTAAGGAGATTAATTTTGTCTTCGCATCAGTTACATGATTATACCCAAATATTGATAATGATGTTTACAAAAAAACCATTTCAGAGACAAAATTACCAATATAAACGAGCATTATGGCTCTGAAAAAGATAACTATAAAAGTCTAGTGGCTGAAGACACTCAGTAGTTATTTGTTTTTTTCTTTAGTTTTAGTGGAGATGTATTCAAATCTATTGCAGATTCTAAATTAGGTTATAGATCTTCCTGGATTTCATTATGAAACGACTGTTTCTTGAAGAGTTTGCATGCAATGAATCATATGTTTTTGCTGCTGTTATTACATATACTGCATTTAGTGCTATTTAGGTTAGGTNATGCAATTAATCATAATTTTTTGCTGCTGTTATTACATATACTGCATTTAGTGCTATATAGGTTAGGTTATTAGTTTTATTTGGTTTCATTTTACAATAAAATACTCGTATCATACCTTGAAATTTGCAATACTTTATTTGTTCAGAATTACTTTTCTACAGAACATCAGATAGCTTTTTAGTATCACCAAATAAAGAGATTCGATTGTGATCTGTTCACGTGTTTCCGCTGCTGTCTCTAGACGCTTGTTGATAAATATTGAAGAAATATAGAATATTCATTAATTTATTAAGTATATGTATTTTGTTTAATACTGACTTTACTTTGTAGTGCCAATAACGATTCATTCAAATCGATCAAAATAATATAATTATGTAGCTAAAAATTTAGTGTATGGACGCGGATGTTTATCAGCTGACTAAGTAGTAAGTAAGCAGGTAAATCAAAAATGAAACAGAAATTAACGGCAACTATAAATATAATTTAAAGGGTTTTAAAATTTCATCTTATTTGACACCCAATTTAATTATATTACCTAATCGAATCTTGATGGGTTCTTTCGTTTTTCTAAAAAAACTTGGCTCAGATCTCGACAATGGATCTTTCCGCTTTTGATTGGACACCGAATATGTATATGTATTAGTTCTGTGTAATAATAAACGTATTTCCGATGTATTCTGCAATGTTCAACCTCTTACTATGAGACATAATAAAATTGGACACTCTGCACACCTATAACCCATTTCAGCAAACATTGTAATGAAAACAGGCACATAACTTCCAGAAATATTTTTGGCATGCTCCACATTTCATATTAATAACATAAAATAAAAAGCATAGGTTAGTGCGATGTTAAAAAAAGTAGGTACACGTAAAACGAACAACACTGCTGATTCACTGTAGGTTTACCTGTTTTTTCAGTTCTGATACTTCATTTATTTCGTCCCTTGTGTCATAACCATATCGCCTTGTATATACTGAAACGTCGGAAAAAATAACGTTTATTTTCGAAAAATATTTTACAAAAGATAGTCATAGATATGACTTCATGGACATTTTGTACAAACAGTATTTTTTTTTATTTGTGTTGATTATCCATCAGTAAAATTGAAGGGAAATTTGGATCGCAAAATAATAGAAATAGTTATATAAGACATTGAATTTATCTAGCTAAACAAAGTGTTGATGAGTTCAAGTGACAACGAAATTCAGTAAGGTAAGGTAGTGGAAAAATCGAATTAATGAAAACGTAAGATACATATATTTTGGAAGTTTTGTCAGCAATATCGTCAGTAATGATATGACAGATGTTAAAATTGTTTTATCAATGTTGAAAAGTATCTGCCGTCCATTACAAAAGCCAGGTAGTTGGGAACACAAACATATGAAATCTGTAAAACATTGAAAACATGAAAACTGATAGGTGGAGTAACTCAAATGACGAATGACACCACTGTCACCAAATCAAGAATCAAAGATCACAAAATCTAGTGGATTTTAATAACAGTAGTCGTGACTTATCGGGTAATTCCGTACACTAGGGTCAATTTGATTGGCTGGAGGTAAGAAAGTAAGGTAGACAGTTGAATATTGAACATCTCTTGGTTGATATGTAGTTACTATAGTTCATCTCTTTAACTTTTCTGCATGATCTCATTTCATGTTTACATGCACTAGGCTTAATAGTTTGTATATATTTGTTTGGCAAGTAATTCTCATCATTTTCCTGGCA